AGGCAGGGTGGAAGGCCCCTCTGATTTTGTGATCTTTCCCCACAGGTGCCAGTTAAGCCTGGGTGGACATCCCTTGGCTATCCAGACCTATCCTTGGGACAATTCCACGTACGGAAATGGCAAGAAGTACATCGCCACAGCCTACGTGATATCTTCCACCCAATAGAGATTCGGGCCAGACAGGGACATGAGGGCAGTGAGGGCTCTCGCAAGCCTGAGGTGCTGTCTCTGCTCTGGACTGGAGAGGGGAGGGAGGAGACTGGGAGGCATTCCCAAATCTAGAAATGTCCTTATAGGAAAGAGAGAAAAGATATGAATTAGAAAAATTCAGGGAAATGATCAAATTTTGTCTTCCAGTATTTTGGTAATGTAGACTAAGAAACAGGTCCAGACAGAGAAGGTGGGAGCCCGGTAGCTCTTTGCCCTGATGTGTTGTGGAACCATGAGCAGTTCCTCTTACCTCATTGGACCTCATGCTCCCCTTTAATGTAAAGGGAAGAGTCTGTCCCTTTCCTCTTTTTTGAGGTTAGTGAGAGAGCAAACCTGATGATATTATTACCGTGAAGGTGTTTTCAATTGTTCTTAGGAAGAACGGCTGCTAGAAATTCAAGATTACTCTAATAGCTGTTATTGTACACAGCTCTGCAATCTGCAGTTCAGTCCTGTGTTGGGGGCCTCGAAGAAGTCAGGCCACAGAAGTCAAGTATCTGGCCTTTGGTCTTTTCTAGAGTTAGATCCTCTCAGAACAGTCTGGGAGAACTCTGACACTGGACGGAGAAGGGTAATGGTTGGTGCAGTGAGTGGGTGGGGGTGGCGGGGCCTTCTCCAGGCCTGAGTGCTTTTGCAGCCAGCTCAGTATCTGCACCAAGAAGCTTCCCACTTGTGGGCGTTTAGTGCAGTTACAGACTTGTATTTTGATCCCAAATAGTTTTTTGAAAGAGTTCCCCTCATGGGAAGAAGATTTAGCATCAGAAGAGGAAAGAAACCTACAGCTTGGTCTCATTAACATAATTATTTTAAGGCTTATCCATCACTCATGATGTGAATAACTCTACAACGGGACACTAGGGAGACTGGGGCTCTCTATCTCAACATCAATTATGCGTTTCTCCCCTGACCCCATTGGGAACCAGATGCTGTTCCACAGAGCCAGTCCTGAACTGTGGTTTAGATGGTTTGAGTTTTCATTAAAGTCATTTAATAAAATTTGAAATGTGTTTCTTCTTTGCATATGGCCCCCCTGGGTTGCCCATCTCCCTGCCTTTTCCCTGAAGCAGGGTTGGGAGTGATACTCCTGCTTTAGTGTCTTTTCAAAACGGCTTAGAGAATGTGGTATCTGGGTGTAGTCCCTGACGACTCACCAAATCTCTCTGGCCAAGAGGGGTAGAGAATTCTTCCTGGTGCACTTGTAATGTGAAGGATGGCAGGAGCATTGCGCACAGATTATGAGGAGTAAATGGAAATTGGTGGCTCCCAGCCCTGATGATGACCCGTCCCCTTGATCATACACAATAAACATAAGAATGCCCCTGGATGCAGCTTCTGTGGTTGCAGAGGTTGACCAAACAGGGAAGAGGAGGTGCTAAAGAGCTACACAAAGAGACTTCTCACCTGTAAACAGATTATTTAAGCCACAATGCTAGGAAAATGTCAGGTATGAAAAGATACCTCAGGCAAGTTACAGAATGCAGATGCAGGGGACAGGGCCTTGTCCTGCCGTTCCCCACAAATGAGCAAGTCAGGGAGTCAGCAGAGCAGAGTGGTCACAGGTATATGCTCTAAAGTCAGGTTACCCAGGTACCTAGCCAGGCTCTGTCACTTGCTGGCTATATGAACAAATTTCTTAATTATTCAGATCAGTTTCCTCATATTACCATTGTTGTGAGATAAGGAATATAAATTGCCAGCCATTCTCACACTAATTCTAGTCTTACTTATTATACAGATTTCGTAATGTACTAAGAGAGGCAATTCATCTTCCCTGTTATCAGCCTTACCTTTCACCTTCTGGTGCCCAGTACACGTTCTCCTTAAAGACCTCTTCAGAGGTCTTCCAGGTCAAGTAGGAGGCAGAGAGACAGAGATGCAGGAGAGAGTTACCATATCCCAGGGTCTGGACCTTAGCTCTGCAGGAGGGAGAGGTAGGAACTAACATTTGTTAATCTCTTACCATGACCCAAGCTGTGCTAAGTAGTCCTTTTATACACATTTTCTCACTCAGGTAGGTATTTTTATCTTTACCATTTAAATTTTACATAGACAATTGAGGCTCAGATTAAGCCATATTCTTAGTAATTGTCAGAATAATGATTGTAAAATTCAACCCTTTTCCTCATGCTGTGCTGAGTCCAGATTTCTAGCAGTATCTACTCATTTATTGATTCGTTATTCATTTGAAGAATACTTATTAAGGCCTATAACAGAGGCTGCTGGTTGCTTCTCAGTATCTGCTCTCCTCCTATTCTTGCTTATTTACTGAACTCTCAGTTTCTAAATGAACACGAGACTGCCAAGAGTGAAAACTCTCAACCTCCCTTATAACCAGAAGTGGCCATGTGTCTAGGACCTGGCCAATGACATGTAAGAGGAAGTATTCTTAAAGGGCAGGGGTACCATTATTACCACCCTTGCCCCTTCCTGGATTTCAGATGAGAATCTGGAGCTTGAGCAGCCCTCTTAAACCATGAGTGAAAGCCATGTGCTGAAGATGGTAGAACAATGAGGTAGAAGGAGCCTGGGTCTGACACTGGGATTGTCATACCAGTTCTGGATTGCTAATATTCAGTCTTATATGAGAGACAAATAATCTCTCATCTTTAACCCACTCTTATTTTGGGCTTTCTGTCACATGCAAACAAACCTAATACGGTATCTCTGTAACAGTAAGCCCTAAGGTTCATTAATTCTCTTCCTGAAGTTACTTAGCTAATACCCTTTCTTAAGATTCATATTAACTGTGAGAATGTTCCCTAACTTACCTATTGGAAAGATACCAATAACTGTTTTGGATATAAAATCAACAGCATTCACAATCATTAATTTCAGCATTTTACTGTTGTAATAATAAACATTCATGTTTATGTCCACTGACCATTAGAATTTCAACATATATAACACATATAAAAGAGGTTGTCTCTTTGAAAATGACTATCCAAGTACTAGCGATAAGTTCAAATGAGATGACTGGGGTTTAGTCTCAGTAAAAATAAATAACGAATAAAAGAGACATAAAAGAAAGGCATGATATACCAATCTTGTTGAATCCTATTTGAAGGCGATTGTCAACACCTAGAAAGAAAGAACTTAAGATGGCCCATGTCTGAGCTCATGGGAGAGAAGGCTGCCATCACAGGCACAGTTTTTTGTGGTACAATTGGAGCTTCAGAATTAGGTGATGATGACCAGCAAGACCATTCAATTAACTCTTCTCACTTTGATTCTACACTCAATAAGCAAACTTTTGATTATTTTATGGTTTGACAGAGAGGGAGGAAGGAAGGGAAATAGAAAACAGAGGATTCACCCAAGGGCCTATGAGGTTTTACTAGAGCAGCCAATGGCCCCCCCTTATCTCTCATCTTGATCAACTGTACCAGAATTAATAAAACTAATGCGATTGCTTTTGTTAAGAACATCAATAAATCAATATATGTTTAAAAATGATTTATTATTGATTTTAAAATAAAGAAATCTTAAAAGTCAGTCATCTATCTCATAAGGCAACAACAAAAATATCATTTCATTAGTAAATATTTTGATGATGCACATAATGATTTGACTACTATGACTTTAAAATACAAAGATACCCAACAATTAAACAATGGGAAAGATATGCTAATGATATGACCTTGAGAGGGAGGACGCTGAGGTGGTTTTTCATTGATCAGTGCCAGGGTTTCTGGTTCCCAGCCTCAACTATACAGTTGTTTCCTGTGCTTTAAAAAATTCTGAGGCTCATGCTGCACTCCCGACTAATTAAATCAGAGTCTCTGGGACATAACTTAGAAATCAGCTATGCACATTAATGCTCCCTAGGTGATTCCAAAGTTCAGTCAAGCTTGAGAACTGCTATATAGAGCTATTTCAAATAGAAAGTTGTGTTTGTTTCTGTGGACTTCTAAAATGATTTTTGTTTTGTTTTACAATTTTAGAGTTGTCACAGCAATGAAAGAAGGTTCACACACACTGGATGCAGAAGCAAAAAGTGTTAAAAGCTTCATATTCTTCCTTCTCTGTAAGCCAGAGCATATCTAAAGACAGACCTTAATACTGACACATGTCAAAGAAAGACTCAGAAAGATACACTTAAAAAAGCAGAGTCTATTTGCAGAAGATGCAAGGGAGTCAGCCTGAAGGACTGGTTTGCCCAATACAAGTACTTAAAGGAAAACAAAATCCCGCAAAATTGCCGGGCTTACCAGTTTACATTAGTTTGTTCATAGCAGAGACACAGTAACTTTCTCACGTGGTTATCGTACTTACAAAAGTCATGACATATCGTTAGACACTAGTAAGGTAAATATTGGGGATGAAATTGTTTGGGGAGGGAGAGTCCAAAGAAACATTCAAGGCTTTTTTGTTATGGGGATCCGAATAAGTCAGGATGACCCTGCAGTGCTTGGGTTATCTGATGCAAAGTTTAGTCATGCTAGATATCAGAAATCATCAACACAAGATGCTGACACCAATCGGGGGACTGCTCGCCTTTAGAAACCCTTCCCCAACTTCTCTTGGAGAGACAGCTTTTCTATTGTCTCCCTTATGCATAAGTCTGTCTCTTTTTAATAAAGCGTTGCTTGCCTTAAAAAACAAACAAACAGAAAACCACAACAAAGTTTAGTCATGCTGAAGCCCTCTCAAGGGTCAGACTTTGCTTTTGCACACTGTCCCGGGTTCTAACCAGGAAGCAGGGCTCGTGAACCTGACCTTCTGCGCACGCTCGAGCCCAGGCCTAGGGGGCGGGGCGAGGGCGCGCGGGGACTTGTGGGAAACCCAGGAAGGCGGGGCCGGGCGTGAGTTGCTGCAGGTCTGGGTGGGCGGCCGTGGGGCCGGTAACGGCCGGGTCAGGTGAGCGAGAGTTGTCGTTATCGCCGGCGGGAGTAGTCGAGGAGTGCTTTGGGGTCGCCTGGCGGGAGGAGGGGTGCGGCACGGCCGCGGGTCTGGGTGAGGCGGAGCAGGCGAGGGCGGGCGGTGGAGCGGTGTCCAGGGTAGCGGCGTCCTGGGGCGCGCGTTCCGAGGAGGGGTTTCGTGACCCGGGCCTGGACGTTCCGCTTCGCTGAGGGACCCTCCGTCCCCGCTGCCCGGAGCTTTGGGCGGTTCGTGGTGGTGGGAACTGCAGAGCTCCCCTCCCGAGAAGACCGCGGTGGGGCCCGCCCCCTTTCGGCGTGGGTGTGCACTGTTCGCCTGGATGTTGGGTATGAAAATGATACCCCAAGCGCTGGAAGTTTGTGGTTACCGGCCCAGACCCCAGCACCATCGCAGGTTCCGTGGGAGCAGTTGGTCCTGCGACAGCAGTAGAAGTGATGGGTGAAATGGGAAAGCTTTCGACCCCCTACAGCATCTCGGGGGCTTGCCGTGCTTTTATTCATATTTTCGAGTCCCCAGCAAAGCATTGTAGTAGTTTTGTTTTTGAATGAGATGTACATATAGATCAAACATGGACAGTATCCAAAAGAAGCTTAAATTTAGTTTAGTTGTTGAGGGTAGGGGGTCAGAAGATGTATCTGCATCTGCAGCTATCTTTCAGTGAGATACTGACTATCCTAAATAAATCTCTTTTCTATTCCCTTCTCTCACCCGCCTTACTTCCCTGCCCTCCCCCTTATGCTTTGAATCTCCTCCCAACTTTTGGGGGACCTTGCCCGGTCACTCACCCTTTTTCTTATATCTTCTTTTTCTTGGGTCCTCCTCCCCCCAGATTGTACTCAAGATCAAGTCTTACATTATTAAAGACAAATTTACTGTAACCCCATATGATGTCACTTACTTAGCTCATTTCTTTTTGCCCTTTCTTTAAAAGTCCCATTAAAACTCTCAATAATCTTTATATGACTAAATATAATGAACTTTCCCTCTCCGTGACCACTGTGGCATTTGGCACTGCTAACCTTTCCCACTTTCTTGAATTCATTTTCTCCGGTTTTCTGTGAGAGTACTCTCTAGGCTTTCCTCCCAGCTTTCTATGTGCTGCTGCCTAGTTTTTCCTATGTTGGCATCTCTTCTTCTGTTTGTTCCCTAAATGTTAGTGTTCCCTAAATATTAGTGTTCCCTAAATAATTAGTGTGATTATTCCCCAATAGTCACAATGGTTAAATGTATCCAAATCCTTGATTCTAGCTTCCACCTTGTATTAGTTTGTCTCTGTTGCTTATAACAGAATAGCGGAAACTGGGTAATTTATAAAGAAGTGAAATTTATTCCTTACAGTTTTGCAGACTGGGAAGTCCAAAACCCAGGGAGCACATCTGGTGAGGGCCTTCTACAGCTTTGAAAGGTGTCACATGATGAGAATGGCAAGCGAGAAAGAGAGCTAACCTTCTCACTTGCTCCACTTTTAAAGCCATCAGAACCACACCCATTACTCCAAGAATGGATAAATCCATTCACACTCTAATCACTTCATAAAGGCCCAGCCTTTCAATTACCATAATAGGATTTCCTGCCCTCTTAACACTGTTACTGTGGGGATTAAGTTTAGTTTTGG